AGAGAGAAAGAGAGAAAGAGAGAAAGAGAGAAAGAGAGAAAGAGAGAAAGAGAGAAAGAGAGAAAGAAAGAAAGAAAGAAAGAAAATAAATGATGCAACAGGTAAGGGGAAAAACACCTGCATCATTCTTCTTCTCAGTAGTAAACACTCTCTATATCAGGCACAGTATTTGTCAAAAGTCACAGCTCTGCCTCAGGAGGCAGCTGTGCCATAAAAATAGGAGGGCTAGAAGTTGGAAGCAGAAATATCATTCTAAGTTGCAGTCTGTACGTCATATGACTAGAAGCACCAAAGATGGTTTGATTTAAAACCTTTGGGAGGATTCTTGCAAACTTCAGAGGCAAAAGTTAATGTTTGCATGGCTCAGACCAGCATTTTAGTTTGTTGAGGGACCATCTGAAGACAACATTACAGAAAAGAGGGACGCAACCATCCTTCAGGAGTCTTATATTCCACTACTACATAGTCTACTAATGTACAGAGTTTGGGAGGGACCTGTGTGGGACCTCACCTGCGTGTGTAGGGACCTTCTTAATGATGCATCAAGCACTACACCTGGCCTCCACGTGGTCTGTTTTTAACTCACAACTTCAACATGCTGTTCACTTGAATATTTATAGGAGAACAACTGCTCCAGAACCAGTCTGCCTTTTAAAGACATTTCATTTTGGTTGCTATACAGTTACATTATATTTTGATTGTTTTCTGAAAACAGTTTCATTGAATCTATTGTTCTTTATCTGAGCTCTTCTCTGGTAAGATGAGAGGGATGTGTGTGTGTGTGCGTGCGCATGCACGCGTGCATGTATTATTGGGAAGATCTGTGACACCACCCAGAAGATCAGATTTGGCCCAAAGCCACTGATTACTTGTTTTTTTTACATGCAATTAATTCCTTGCTGAGGTTTCAAAATACACACTCTCTCTCTCACACACACCTACACATGCGCCTCAGAGCCTACAATTAATTTCCTCCCACGTTTCCTAAGCTTCAAACCAAAGCCTCAAAACCACACTGGAGCTTTGGGAATTTACAGTAAACAACATCTTAACTTCTGCCTAAAAAGAAGTGACATCTCCAGCCTGGCCAGAGAAGCCATAAAATACATATTTGGGATTCTTCCTCTTCCAGGATATTATGCATTTTGAAGTGAAGCCCCAAACCCAGAGGAAGTGAGATTTGTGCATTTCCGTCTCTGGAGAGTCTTCCAGGTGCTGTTTTCATTGTGTGGTTTTCAGTTCTGAACCGGTTTCCATTTTGGGCAAAGCGGCAGCCATATCCCATTTCATAAGCTGGGTTAAGAACTGGGTATACGGGTGGGACAAGACTGTTGGCCCACAATCCGTGGGACGATTGCAGCTATGGTATTTTTGTGGTTCAGATGACTGACCATCTTCTTGCCTGCTCTCAGTCTCCTCCCATCTATGAGAGGACCAACTTTCCTGCTCTACGACACAATAGTGAATGAGCATGATGGGACTGCACCAACTTCAAAGCATCTCTTTCAGATAACCAAAACTTCAGGTTATTCATCCAAGTTTGACTTTTACACATTTCAGTGACTTGGCTACTATCTCATTCAGAACAACTGAAGAAAAGACACAATTTCTCACTCCTTCCATAGCCTGGCCACAAATGAATAGCTCCACAGAGATGGTCAAACATCTACAGTAAAACTGTGAGATGAAATAAGTCTTCACTATAGGCTCAGTGAATTAATGATTCCCAAAGGAAAAAGCACAGAATCTCATGTTCATCAAATCTGTCTTACAAATAAAACGCATACATCAGATTGGTCAATCCCCTGGGAGAACAGAATTTTGAAAAACTGATCCCACCTCAATAGGTTTAGTGTCTATGAAAACAGACCTGAGTATGTATGAACGAATGTTAACGGTTGACCTTCAATATCAACAGCATGTATCTGATGATGTAGCACTTTGCCAGCCAAGGCTCTAGACTACCACAACAGAAAACCAGTGCTCTTGTAGTTTTTGATAAGTGACAGGATTGGGAGATTATGAAAAATAACATTAGCTGAGGAGCTAACAAACCAGACTCTCTAAGGGACTAACTAAAAAGATATTTGTACTGATCTATGTTATCCTTTCATCAAGCACTTTCTCAAGTTTATTTTTGGAAAGATTGTTACAAATTGTTCTTAGATTATCTTTCTTTTGGAAAAGATCTTTACCTAATTAATATAATCATATAACTACTTTCCATGGACACACGACATTTGGTTCTTTGAATTCCAATTAATTAATTAAAACAAGAATGCCACACTAATTAGAGACTGTGCTGTTTGCTGAGGCTTTTCTACAAGACACATCACGCTATGGTTCCTGAAACAAGGTTTCAGAGAAGAGTTTCGCACACAGGGAAGCAAATCCCACAGTTCTGTACTGTTTTTTATTGCATTACATATCCATTTTTATTATAATAATAGATAGAAAATAATATTTATTTTAATATAATATTTAAATTTTGTTTTTATAAATACTTTAGCCACATATTTATGAATACAACATTGATTATGTGCCATCAAGTTGTTTTTGACTCCTAGCAACCACATAGATTTTCTCTGATCTGTCCCTAACCTGTTCTTTCACGTCTCCCAACGGTGCACTCATCGCCTCTGTAACTGAGTCCATCCACCTTGCTGCTGGTTGTCCTCTTCTTTTCTTTCCTTCCACCCTTCCCAGCATTACAGCCTTTTCCAGCAAGCTGGGTCTTCACATAATGTGTCCAAAATAGGATAATTTGAGCCTGGTCATTTGTGCCTTGAGTGTGAACTCTGAGTTGATTTGTTCAATGACCATTTGGTTTGTTTTCTTGGCTGTCCACAATATTCTCAGAAGTCTTCTCCAACACTGAAGTTCAAAAGTATCAATGCTCTTCCTATCCTGTTTCTTTAAAGTCCAACTTTTGCTTCCCTAGAGTGTTACAGGGAATATCACGGCTTGCATGATTCTGATCTTTGTAGGTACAGACATATCACAGCATTTGAATATCTTTTCCAAGGCCTTCATGGCTGCTCTACCAAGTGCTAGTCTGCAGCATATTTCTTGACTGCTTGTTGCTTTACTGCTGATGGTTGATCCTAAAAGGCAGAAGCTATCTCCCACTCTGATATCTTCATTGTCAGTTGTAAAGCTGGTTGTTGTACGTGCAATTAGTTTGGTCTTCTTTATATTTAATTTTAGTCCCAGTTTTTCACTGTGCTCAACTTTATACACACGCACGTACACACACACATGGATAGAAAGTATAAGATTCAAGATGTATTGGCTTTGAAGATATTAAAAAAATAAAAATAACAATGCAGCCATTTATCCAAAGGTATAGATGGAAGATAAAAAGAAAGTAAGACTTACACTCATTGTGGCATTAATTTCAGCCACTGTCTCTTCATCAGTTGGGAACTGATAGATTTGAACCCCGTTGCTGACCAACTCGCTCATGATTTTGCTTTTGAATTTATGTAACTCGTTTTTCGCAATGGTGTCGGCTTTGGCTATTATCGGGATAATATTCACCTGTAAAATAAACAAAGCAAAATTATGCTGCATCAGTTCCTGGTGATGGCAGAAAGCCGCCCCAGTGAGTGGATACGAAATACAGGGGTATATGGATCACACTTTTAAAGAAAAAGATAAAGCCCAACACCCTCTCTACCCTGAGCCCTTGGAACAGGGTGTTTCAAAATGCAGGAAAATTTGCAAGGGAGTGCAGCAGCTTAATAGAAAGTAGAGTAAGATTCATGGAGATCATCTCAAAATAATCTTTTTTATTAGGCCACCTGGATCATGTTGTTCACTTGAAGCAGACAATCAAAATAGCACATTTCATGCTAAGTTATACTGGACAACTCATGCCTCCCCTTGCTTTTTAATTTCCAGGCATGAATCTTAACAGACCACTAATAGCACTTAAAGGCAGAGAAAAAGCTGCTAGATTTTGCCTATATGAAGATTCAACATAATATGCAATTTGGCTCTTGAAGTGCACCGAAACCTCTCCTCCTCCCACTGTCAGTAAAATCTGGAAGCAACTCATGCTTTAACTAAGCTAGAATGAAAAGGTGCTCAGCGCCCTCATGGGTGATATAAGAACATAACAGTAGTCCTGCGGCATCAAGTCAAGATCCATCATAGTCCAGCATTTTATTTCTCAGAGTCCAACCACACGCCTCTGAGGTCCGTACGTGAGCAGAAGATGAGAAGATATCCTGCTCCCCCCACTGTTCCAGTGCATACTTCGACGTAGAAGTAACAAGTCTTCAAGACTGACGGCCATCCATGAATTCATCCATATCCCTTCTAAAGCCATCACCAGATTAATCATGCACTGTTTCAGTATGGAGTCCAGACCCTTATGCTTTAATCTTTTGCTCCAATATTTGTCAAAGAATGGCATGCTTGCTTTTGACTGAACTGCATGGGAGATTCTTTTATGAATCAAATCTGTTTCTCACCCTACGTTACCATCCAGGGTACGTGCCTCACTTTATTTTGAGCTGTGGTCTCTACCTGAGTGGAACTAATTAGTGTACAGCTACATTTTAAAAGGGCAAACTTCATGCTAGGAAAATAAACTACCAATGAGTAATGCCCCCGTATAAATCTTCGGCAGAATTGCACTTGGAATACTGTGTACAATTCTCATTTTCATATTTCAAGAAAAATGCCAAACAGCTGAAAAAGTACAGAAAATGGCTACCAAATTAGGCTTTGGGGATTTCTAGCTTAAAAGGAATGTTAGCAAGGAGGGACATGGTACAGATGTTTACTATAAAATCATGCATGGCATGAAAAGTTGGTCAGAAGAGATTTCTCTCCTGTTCTTGCTATATTAAAACTTGGGATCACCAACCAAAAGCAATTATGGGGTGGCTCAGAACTTCTTTCTTTATATATAAAATACGTGAGTTAGAATTTGGTGCCACCAGGTATGGCAATGACACTAGTGTAGATGGTTTTAGTAGGTAATTAGGCAAACTCATGGAAGATGGAGTTATCAAGTACTGATTGATTAAATTTGTACGCTGCCCGACTCCCAACAGTTCTGGGTGGTTCACAAGTAAAAACACAGAAAAAAATATATAATAGTAAAAACAAGGAACAGAAGGTGTCGACAAAATCAGGCAGCATCAAAACTCACCCCTTCCTTGTAGGGGCCTACACCCATCCTAGTCAAAGGCCTGAGCAAAGTTACTAATTCTGTAAGTTGTATATTAATTCAAGAATTTGCTTGTGGAAAAGGACCAACACCTTCCTATCCTGTTTGTGAGTTTCCTTATTATATCTGCCTGGTTATTTTATAATAAAAAATGCTGGACTAGATTGGCATTAGGCCTAACCTGATAGGGTTCCTATTAGATTTTTATGTTCTTAATTTGTTCATGTCAAGTGCCTATTTAGTTCATAGTGAACCTGTCAAATTTGGGTGATGCAGTTTACATTATAAAGCTGAACTAGGATCCTATCAAATACACTTTAAATTTTAAAACTTTTCAAAGCAAACTCTCATTTTCAGCCCTCTCATTTTTTCTAAAAATTCCAATGCTGGCAGCAAATGAAATAAGACCTACTAATTTGCATTTCAGAGTACAGAAGGCAGCAGCAAACAGAAGGTAAACAGTGTAACACAATTTTCTATTTCCTCTCTATAGCATATGCTTTATATAGGAAATTTCATATCCCCTATACGCTATTAGCAACTATTTTAAAGAACGGAGGTAAGAATCATTGTGGAAGTAAATTCCAATAATGGTTCAATTGCATCAAACTCATGTCATAAGTTACCAGTTAGTATCACATCTGTATTCTAAAATTAGGTTAACCATAACGATGGCTTACTGAAATGTGCTAAGTCCATATGCTAAGTTCTGAAATTAAGTTTACTTCATAAAGCACAGGAAATACTAATCACATTTTGCTTGGTTTGGACATCACAAATTAACACGAGAAGAAAAAGTTTCCACTCTATTTCTTATAACCACCCCAGAGGGGGCCAGGACACAAGCTGAGGCCTCGTGCAAGCTTGTTCAACTAATTATTAAATCTAAACAAGTAACAAAGAGGGTTTTGGCAAGCTGCTTATCTTATAAAGTAATTTTCCAATATAATAAACACATAATTGCTGGGAAATTGAAGCCGTAACAACTTGGCAGAACATCCCATTGGAATCTAGTCCGCCCCCCCCCCCAAATAAAACATAGGATATATATTGAAGTGGCATGATGCACTTTTAGTTACAATTCTAAACACACAGCTGGGGACTGACACTGTCCTTTGGGACATTTCCCTTTGGGCCTGTCAGCTGCTCAGCCTCACTTAACATTTAACACCTTTCAGAAATTATTTTAATTTTAACAAAAAGTAGCTGAGTCGTTGCAAAGGAAAGGGTCAGCCCAGCCACAGGATCATTTTTATTTTGAAGAATACCTTTGGGAACACGGGCGTCTGCAGGGTGGCAAATAAACAAACATGTGCCACAATGTAAACTACATGGCTTAGTATTTGCCTCCAATGCCAAGTAAGAAAGTTTGTATATCATAATGCATATTTTGCCATTTCCCCCCATCAACGTGGATTGTATTGGATGCTTATAGTCAAATCCCAAACATAATTGTTGATCATAATCTCCGAGGGCTCTCAGAGTTTGGATGGTTTACCAGCCCCAAAGTTGGGGAAGTCTGCCTTATAAGTATTCCCCAGGCATTTATACCAATTTTATGATGGAGGTCCGAGGTTACAATCTACATTCTTTGTTGAAGCAGAGGAAAGAAGAAAGAACACAAAAGGAGCTGAGTTAAGAACAGATGACACCAATTCCCTTCTATCTAAACAGAATTTTTTAAAGCAGCTGGTGAAGATAATATTGAGCCAGAAATTAAACAGTGCTTAGAAGCCCTTTATATTATGTAAACGTGTATTGAGAGAATACTGCTGATACTTATTTGGAGGGGAAAAAAACTTTTGCCAAATTTATGACCCTTATTTCCAGCATTTTTCCCCAGAGAGAATTATAAAAGATTGTCCATCTATCTTTCATGACTTTTTAGCCTTTTTTTTTTTTTTTAATTCCACCATGTCTTGTGGAACCAAATTTCATATGCTGAGAATTCCATAATTTAAATGTTGTGTGAAGAAATAATTGCTTTTGCCTGCTGTTTGCAAATAGCTGAGCTGAACATTCAGGAATCTGGGAGTGGGGGAAAAAACTGAAATTCTTTTTCCCCTTTCATCCAGTATGTCATTTGGAAAGAAATGGAAAAGAGGAAGAGGGAGTCCAAGATGGACCATCACTTCAGACTGCAGGAGGGATCATATTTTTGAGCCTTAAAACAAACAAACAAAAAAGAGAGCTATGTTGGTTCATCAGAATCAATTAATCTGACCTCTAAAGCCCCATAGGGCATGGGGCCAGGTTATCTGAGGGACCATCTCTTCCCTATTACATCTACCATCCCATCAGGTCGAGCAGGAGAGGAACGTTCCGGGTCCCGTCTGCAAAAGAGTTCCATCTGAAGGGACCTAGGAGATGAGCCTTCTCCGCCTTGGCACCCACCCTCTGGAACATCATCCCTCCTGAGGTGAAGTCCCAACCCTTATGGCCTTCTGGAAAGCCCTCAAAACATGTTTTTTTCAGCAAGTCTGGGGATCCCCTGGCATGCTGGTTATACTGTATGTAAACATCTTCCCTCTTGTGCCCTTATTTTACCCATGCTTACTGTTTTAATGGGTTTGAAAAATGTTTTAATTCTTGGTTTTACTGTACGCTGGCCAGAGTCAATTGGGGTGAGATGGGCGGCCACATAAACCTGACAAATAAATAAAAAAAGAAAAAAATCTGAATTCTGTAGCCGGTGAATATGGAACTGCCAGATTGTGTTAGCAGGCACCTGTATTGTATATTAAAATTGCTGATTATAGACTCGTTTGGTCCTCTGTAGTCACGTACTAGCACCATCTGGCCTTCTGTGGCTGATGAGTAACACCACACCAAACCCATTTATAGATGCTCAGTTAACTTGTTGATTTCTAAGTCTGGTTTCAATAGATTTAAGAGAAAAATTAGATTAATGGGCATACTGCTGTATTATGTAAACCTGTAATGACATCCCAACATGCCAAATAAAAGATAGTTCAATATTTGCACTAATCTTTCTGCTAACTCATTACTGTCTGGGAGGTATGGCATAGATGTGATGTACTGAATGTCACTGTATTACACAATACATCTAAAGACTTCTGAGAAAAACTATTATCAATAACAATTTGCTCAGGCCTTCCAGTCCTAGTGTTGAAGAATGCCTATTGTCTGGGAGCTGGTTGTAGATTTCATGGAAACACACACACACACACACACACACACA